ATTACATATGTCTTCACCCTTGTGTAGTTTACATTTTACTCTCCTTTTTATTTTTTTATGTTATTTTATTTTTTGGCGTTACTGGGGTTTTGACTCAAGCCCTCACACTTGCTGGCAGGTGCTCTACCACTTGAGTGGTAGGGCACTAAGGGCACTAAGCCCCCTTTACTCTTTTAATGATTTATTTTGATGAACAAAAGTATTTTTTTAACTTTAATAATGTTCCATTTATCCATCTTTATAGCTAGTACTTTTCTTTTGGTTGAACTGGGATTTAAATTCAGGACTTTTCACTCACAGAGCAGGTGCTTGAGCGAGACCTCCAGTTTATTTTGCCCTAGCTAATTTGGAGATGGGGTCTTGAGAACTATTTACCCAGGTTGGCCTTGAACCTCTAGTCTCTTGATCTCAGCCTCCTGAGGAGCTAGGATTAAGGCATGAGTCACTGGCGCCCAGCTTGGTTAGTGCTTTTCTGTATTCTGTTTAAGAAATCTTTGTTAAACTAAGTCATGAAAAATTTCTCCTTAATTGTTTTAAGCATTGACATTTAGATCTATGATCTAGGTCTAATTTTTATGTATGGCATGAGATAGGGGTCAAATTCCTTCCTTTCTTCCTTCAGTCCTTTTTTCTTCCATGTGGATATCCAATATTCAGTTGATCCATCACCATTTGATAAGATCAATTCCACACTGAGATTTGCAGTGAAGCATTTTTTTAACCCTTATTTATATACTGTTGGTAGGAAGAAAAATTGGTACAACCACTATGGAAGACTGACAAAATTTTCTAAAGCTAAAGAGCTAAGTAGATTTACATCCTGTAACATGGCAGTTCTACTCTAGCCAAAAACAAGTACTTCTTTCTGCCAAAAGAATTACTTGTAAGCTGGGCACCAGTGGCTCACACCTGTAATCCTAGCTACTCAAGAGGCAGAAATCAGAAGGATCATAGTTTGAAGCCAGCCTGGGAAAATAGGTTGTGCTACCTTTCTCAAAAAACCCATCACAAAAATGGTCTGGTAGAGTGGCTCAAGGTGTAAGCCCTGAGTTCAAGACCCAGTACCCTGAAAAAAAAAAAAAGAGTGACTTGTACCAGGTTTATTAGTAATATCTTCAACTGGGTCTAGGGATGTAGATCAGTGGAAGAACACTCACCTAGCATGAGCAAGGCCCTGGGTTCAATCCCCCCACCACAATAATAACTATAATAATGATATTAGCCTAAACTGGAAATAATTAACAAATAAGTTATGGAATATACTCATAATGCACTACTCATATAGTACTCCATTACACATATATGAAAAGGAGCAAAACATAACAATTTCATGGGAAAAATATTAAATAAAATGAACCAGAAACAAAGGAGCATATATTGTATAAGTCCATTTAATTGACGTTCAAGAACAGGTGAAAGTTGGGGAGAAGGGATTGACCATTGGCTGGCGGGAACATGAGGGAGCTTTCTGGGTTTTTGGGATGTTTTATATCTTGCTCTGCATGGTGGTCTCATGGATTTGTAGATATGTAAAGTTTATCAAGACATATACTTCAAGTTTCTGCACTTTCTATGACTAGGAAGAAAATAACCCATTTCACAAACAGGCAAAGGAAATGAACAGACAATTCATAGGAAGAATATAAATGGCCAATAAACCTAAGATGTTCCCTCTTAACTCTTTTTTTTTTTTTTGTGGTGCTGGGGTTTGAACTCAGGGCCTACACCTTGAGCCACTCTACCAGCCCTTTTTTGTGATTTTTTTTTTTTTGAGATAGGGTCTCAAACTATTTGTCCTGGCTGGCTTTGAACCTCAATCCTAATGATCTCTGCCTCCTGTGTAGATAGGATTACAGGTGTGAGCTGCTGAGTTGAGCTTCATAATTTAACTCAGAGCCTGACTAATGCACATATATTAGTTAAACTACCATAACAACAAGACTTAATAGCTGAAACAGAGCACAAATTTATTTCTCTCTCATTACAGATTAGGGTAGATATTCCTAGTAATGGGAGAATGAGGAGAGGTAGCTTGCACTCTGAGCAGTTATTTAGTGACCTAGGCTAATGGAGCAGTCCTTTATAACTCAAGCCTGCTGAGAGTATTTCAGGCCTTGTAATCACCATTCACATCACAAGAAGAAAAAGGGGCATGGAGGAGATTTTTTTAATGCGATTTTGATGGGTATTATTATTTTTTTTCTTTTATTCATTTGTGCATACAATGTTTGGGTCATTTCTCCCCCCTTCCCCCCACATGGAGGAGATCTGTGGAGGTTTTATTGACTATTCCTATTAGGCATGTCTATTTTTGGTGCATGTCCCAATAGACAGGGTCCCCTGTCACATCTAACTACAGTGGACACTGAGTATATGGCTACCTCCATAGCCATAATGATAGTCAAATTCAGATACCATAGAATTTTGGTGAACAGTTAACGGTCCCCGAAAAGAAAAGGAAAAACTGGGAGAACATGCACCTAACTTTATTAATGGTTATCTCCTGAAGTGATATTACAGGAAGCCATCATTTTTACATTATATAATGTTGAAGTGCTTGTATTTTTTTTACAACAAACACATTGTAAAAACCATTACATAAAAACTATAAAGCAAAGCCAGGGGTCTAGGCAGTGACAAAGTACTGACTGCATAAAAGCTGAAACCAATTATTGATACATTCTTAATTGATTAAAAACTAGAATTGACCTACATTTCCATCTCAGAAGAATGCGTAAACCTATAAAGACATAATTATGCAATGAATTATTATAAAGCAGTAAAAACAAACAAAATTTAGTCACAACAATGTGGTTGAATCTTTGATGACAAAGTCATAAAAGACCACTTGCGCCAGGCACCGGTGGCTCGCTCCTGTAATCCTAGCTACTCAGGAGGCAGAGATCAGGAGGATCATGGTTTGAAGCCAGCCTGAGCAAATAGTTCGTGAGACCCTATCTTGAAAAAAAACCCTACCACAAAAAATTGGGCTGGTGGAGTGGATCAAGGTGAAGGCCCTGAGTCCCAGCATCAAAGGAAAAAAAAAGACTGCTTGCTAAGCTGGATGCAGGTGGCTCACGCCTGTAATCAAGGCAGAGATTTGGAAGATGATGGTTCAAAGCCAGTCAAGGGAAAATAGATGGAGAAACCCTATCTTGAAAATATCCAACATAAAAAAGGGCTGGCAGAGTGGCTCAGGTGGTAGAGCACCTATCTAGCAAGCTTCAGGTCTTGCGTTCAGGTCCCGATACTGCTCCCCCAAAAAAAACCCAAAACCCCCCAAAGAAACCACTTGCTTTATTTACCAGTTTTACTTAGTATGTGATTAACATGGTTAAAAACCATGCTGTTGGGGTGTGGTTCAGTATGAGTGTTTTTCTAAAGATTCATGAGCCCCTGCATTCAATCCCTAGCACCACAAACTTGTACTTATATATTGTTTTTAATTTAAATCATGAAAACATTTTTTAAAAAGTAGGCAGAATATATTGTTTTTAATTTAAATCATGAAAACATTTTTTAAAAAGTAGGCAGAAGGGCATAACGTATCCCCATAGACATTACATGGATCCAACAATGATTAATACTTTGCCATAATTGTGGAATCTGCTTTTTCTTGGTATTTTAATGTATGTCCCACATGTCATTTTGTATCTATGTGCTTTACCAGACATAGGTAAATTTATAGACTTTTTTTACATAGCAGTAATGCAATGACATTGTCCACATTTTCAAAGTTAATCATTCTTTGTATTATCTTAGTCCATACTCATACTATCTCCTTTTTTTTTATTGGGTTTTGAACTCAGGGACTCATGCTTGCAAGACAGGTGCCTACCACTTGATCTACTCTGCCAGTCCTTCGATTTTAAAAAATTAATTTTTATTTATTTTGGTGGCATTAGGGTTTGCTTTCAGGACCTCACTATTTTTTGCTGACTTTTAATAGATGATTTGTTTGAATCAAGATCCAAATGGTAGGTGGTTGTGGTGCTACATGCTTGTAATTCCAGCACTAAGGATGCTAAAGCAGCATTTTGAGTTTGAGGCCAGCCTAGGCTACACAGTGAATCCCTGTCTCAAGCAAAACAAAAAAAGAATAAAATCCAGTCTGCGGGGTGGTTGGTCACACCTGTAATACTAGCTACTCAGAGGGCAGAGATCAGAAAGAGAAAGGTGAGAGGCCAGCCCTGAAGAAAGTTAGGAAGACCCTCATTTTAACCAATAAGCCAGTGTGGTAGGAGGATCCCGGTGGGAGGTTGCCTGGGCAAACCCTGGAGACACTATGTAAAAAATTACTAAAAGCAAAAAAGGGCTGGTGGAGTGGATCAAGGGGCATAGTACAAGGCCTAGAGTTCAAACACCAGGGCTGACCAAAAAAAAAAAAAAAAAAAAATCAGATGCAGATTTTAGAGAACTACTTAAATGTAAATAAGTAGTGAAGGGGTTCTCACTATATTGCCCAGGCTGGGCTAAATGATTTTCCTGCCTCAGTCTTCTGAGTAACTGGGACTGTATACAGGGACACCCTTGCCTGCCTTATATTTGAGCATCTAAGTCGCACTTTTTCTTGGTGATCTCTTAAGTTTTTTTGTATCAAGCATCATCCACTGCTGCTGATGAGGGAGCCAGACTGGGACGCAGGTGTGTGTTGTGGGAGGGGGAACATCACCCAGGCTCCCTGCTCGCGAGTGGGGGCGATGTCAGGCCGTGTCAACCAGGTACCTCCTGCTTGGCCGCTCAGAGCCCCCAACTCTGTCCCCTTTGGTGAGGGCGTCCTTAGGCCAGGTCGGAGGGAGTGCCCCCTCCTCCGTGGCTGGGGTCACACCTCCACTCGCAGGGGTCGTGTTCCCCAGGGAGGGGGAGGGGCCCAGTTTCACACGCCGCCGCAGGCTCGCAGTCCTCAGGCCCGGGACGCGTTCCGCGGGAGGCCAGGATTCCAGCGTCGCGCTGGTGTCCCTGGTCCCTCCCCCGAGCTCGGCGGCCCCTCCTCCAGTGCCATGGTGCCCGCCCCAGGGGCCCCAGGCCCCGGCGGAAAGGCCCCGGACCTCGCGGCCTCCGAGTCGCCTTCGCCGGGGAGATCGGGCTCGGGCTCCAAGTTCTCGTCCCCGACTTCCTTCTCGCGGCCGCAGACCGCGAGTCCGGGGTCGGGCGGGTCGCCGCCGCGCCGGGCCGGGCGGGGCGGGATGGCGGCGGCCGCGTGGCTGGAGGCCGGCCTGGCCCGGGTGCTCTTCTACCCGACGCTGCTCTACACGCTGTTCCGCGGGAACGCGCCCGGCCGCGCGCACCGCGAGTGGTACCACCGCATGGACCGCACCGTGCTGCTGGGCGCGCTGCCGCTGCGGAGCATGACGCACCGGGTGAGCGAGGCCGGCGACGCGGCCGGGCCCCGCGGGAAGCGGGGGAGGTCAGCGCGGCCTGGGCCTCGGTGCCGTCCCGGGGACACCGCGGCACCGCCGCCTTGGCTCAGCAGCCCCCTCTTTGCCTCGGCAGCTGGTACGCGACGAGAACGTGCGCGGGGTGGTCACCATGAACGAGGAGTATGAGACCAGGTTCCTGTGCAACTCGGCCAAGGTGAGGGCCTGGGCCCGCTTTCCAGGCCTGGGAGCGCTGGACCAGCCAGAGGGAGGAGGGAGCCGCAGGTGACCACGCCCCGGGCGCAGGTGTCCCGGGCCTATTTACCAGAAGCTTAAATGGCTGCAGCTGGAGGTAGGATGGACGCTAACTGTGAAAGGCATTTAAAACTGACTAGTCAGACAAGGTGGTTCATAGATGGAGGCGCCTCCGGGAGGCGGAGGTAGGAAGGTCGTCTGAACCTGAGCTACACATTGAGACCCCCGTGTGGGTTGAGGGAAGGGGGAGAGTTGACAAAGTTTGAATATTCCTTTATGAAAAATTATAGTCTTAATTTTGGCTACAAATCGGTAACTAAAATTGAAAGGCAGCTTTCAGTCCTTCATTCAACACTTCACTGAACACCAAGTATGGGTCTTGCACTGTATCAGGTATTGAAGATGAAGGCCCCACTAACAGTTAGAGGAAAAGCACCCCCAGCATTTACAGACACACTGAAAAACTGCAGAGGGTTCATTTGGCCCTGATTTGAGACCTCTGTATCATCTTTATGTGTTAGAGATCATGGTAGAACTCCAAAATTCTGTCATAACAAAGTTATGTCATTAAATGTGAACAGTTGCTTATGGGACCTTCCACAGTGGTTAGTAGATGGTGCCCATCTTCATAGTGTGTGATATCTATCATTAATAAACAGTTTCTTCCTCAGTTATTAAACTGATATAACCTATTGAAGATTCTATTATTTCAACCCATATATATTTTAAACATTAAAAATATCAGCCTGGACTGGAGGTGTGGCTCAAGCGGTAGAGTGCCTGCTTTGCAAGCACCAAGGCCTGAGTTCAAACCCCAGTCCTATCAAAAAAAAAAAAAAAAAGAAAGAAAGAAAAAAAAAATATATATATCAGCCTGGGCTGAATAGCAAGTTTGAGGGCAGTTTGGGCAACTTAGTGAGACCCTATCTCAAAATAAAATAAAAAAGGATTGGGTATGTAGCTCAGTGGTAGAACATACCTAGCACACAAAGATCTGGGTTTAATTCCTGGTGCCACACACACAATACACACACACCATTCACTTTTAAAATACATTAGTCTTATATATATACATATATATATATATATGTATATATATATACATACATACATATATGTATATATATATACATATATATATACATACATACATATATGTATATATATATACATACATATGCGTATGTATATATATATGCATATGTATATATATGCATATGTATGTATATATATGCATATGTATGTATATATATATACATATATGTATGTATATATATATACATATATGTATGTATATATATATATATATGTATATATATATATATCTCCTAAGGATGTACATACATATTTGTATATGTGTGTGTGGGTATACTTATATGCATTTTATGTGTGCATGGTGCTGAGAGGTTGAGCCCAGGACCTTGTACTTGCTAAGTCCACACTCCACTGCTGAGCTACATCCCCAGTTCCTTGTGGTATACATTTTTTTAAAAAAGTGTGTAACAGCTGGGTGCCAATGGCTCATACCTATAATCCTAGCTACTCAGGAGACAGAGATCAGGAGGATTGTGGTTCGAATATAGCCTGGGCAAATAGTTCTTGAGACCCTATCTCAAAAATATTCATCACAAAAAAGGGCTGGAGGAGTGGCTCAAGGTGAAGGCCCTGAGTTCAAGCTCCAGTACTGCCAAAAAAAAAAGTGTGTAACACTTCCTTGGATTTCTCAAAATAGTTTACACCTGGTCACAGGGCTCACTAGCCAAAATGGTAAATGTTCACTGGTGTATTCAGTCCTATGGAGCAAGAGGAGTCCAGTGCTACTGGGCATCCAGAGAAAAAGCTTGATCACTGGATGTGAGACTCAACATTTGTTAGATGGAGCTATATCATCTCACTAGTCCAGAGCAAATAAATCTCCAAGGCAATGGTTCTCACATTTAATATGCCTAAGAATCATCTGGCAGTCTTACATTCCTACACAAAGCCCGAGATCTGGACTCTGGGACTTTAGGGTGGGGTGCAGGAATCTGAGTATTTACCAGCTCTGAAGGTATTTCTGGTGCAAGTGATGTACACACAGCATGCTGCAAAACTCTCCTTTCAGTTTTTGTTCATTTTATGAGAATTAAATATTGATCTTCATTCAGAGTCATAAAGTCTCAGGTACCCAATAAAGAAGTTAAATAAGACCAGCTGGAACACATCTGAAGTTCTTAAAGCAAAAATGAAGCTGCCTGGTTCAGCAGAGGACTTATGTCTATTTCTTCTTTTTAAGTGATAATATTGCATAAAGATAGGTGTGTTGTTTTAATTTTAAAATAACTTCACTTTTTTATTGTGTACCCCCTCAAAAAAGTAGTAAAAAAAAGATTTTTGACAAGCTATGGTAACCCCACCCTACAGCTGGATCACTGCAAAAACAGTTTCATAACATTTTAATAGTACTGGGAATCATATCCAGTGTTTCAATTATGCAAGGCAAACTCTCCACCACTGAGCTACACCCACAGCTGCATAACTTTTGCAGCTTAATTTTTTATTTATTTTTTTTTTTTTCGTGGTACTGGGGTTTCATCTCAGGGACTCACACTTGCTAGTCAGGTGCTTTACCACTTCGGCCACTTCATCAGCCTTTTTTTGTGCTGGGTGTTTCTGGGATAGGGTCTCACGAACCATTTGCCCAGGTTGGCTTTGAACCAAGATCCTCCTGATCTCTGCCTCCTTAAGTAACTAGGATTACAGGTGTGAGCCACGGGTGCCCAGTACAGTTGAATTTTATACAGCTAATGTTTTACAGTTACAGATTCAACTACCTGAACCAGGCACCCAGTGGCTCACACTTGTAATCTTAGCTACTTGAGAGGCTGAGATTGCAAGGATTTCGGTTCAAGGCCAGCCCAGGCAAAGAGTTCACTAGACCTCCATCTCCAAAATAACCAGAGCAAAAATGGCCTGGAAGTATGGCTCAAGAGCATCTGCTTTGAGGGCTGGGATTTAGCTCAGTGGTAGAGTGCTTGCCTAGTATGTGTGAGGCCCTGGGTTCAATCCCCAGCACCAAAAAAAAAAAAAAAAAAGAAAAGACGAGCACCTGCTTTGTAAGCACAAAGCTCTGAGTTCAAACCCCAGTCCCATCCAAAAAAAAAAAAAAATTCAAATACCCTTCAAGAACACTTTAAAGGTTAGGTATATAGCTTAGTAGCACACTATGCCTAGCATAGGCAAGACCCTGGGATCATTCCCTAGTAGGACACACAAAGAACACTTTGAATCTTGGACATAGTTCTAACTCAGCAGCATAGCTGTTTGATCAAAGACCAGCCATGTAGGTCAGCCATTTTAAAGACTTTTCTGTAAAACAGATTAGGAAATAGGGGGGAGGGTGGTGGCTGGAGGTATGTCTCAAAGTGGTAGAGTGCTTATCTAGCAAACACAAGGTCCTGAGTTCAAAGCCCAGTACCACCATTAAAAAAAAAAAAGGAAACAGTGCATTCACATTGTAGTAAACCCTGAAAGTTTCTTGCCTTGCTGCCCCTGGGGAGCCTATCTTCATGCAACCCATTTCAGGTTTCTTTCATTCTCTTTTTTCATGTTGGTGGACCTGGTTCCAGGAATGGAAGAAAGTAGGAGTCGAGCAACTGCGGCTCAGCACAGTAGACATGACTGGGATCCCCACCTTGGTGAACCTCCACCGAGGAGTCCAGTTTATTCTCAAGTACCAGTCATTGGGCCAGTGTGTCTACGTGCATTGTAAGGCTGGGCGATCCAGAAGTGCCACTATGGTGGCGGCATATCTTATTCAGGTAGGAAAGGTATCTCTGAAGTGACCTCATTTATAGATTTCCAGAAGTTACTAATAGCATGGTCTACTGGTAGGGCTTGCTAGAGAGAGCCATTGCCTGATTTCAGGATGCAGCAGGGTGGTGTGGTGCCATGCAGAGCACCTGAGCTTTGTAGATGAGCTAACCTCTGGCTCTGTCACCTGTCAGTTAGGATAGACAAATATGGATTCTCCTCTCTGATGCTCAGTTTCCTCAACCTAAATGTGTCATGATGGTTAGATGAGAAAATACATCAAGCACTTTCCTACAGCAGGCACTGAAAAAATTCTGTCACAGAGAATGTTCAACCTAGTGACAGGCTAGAAACATTTGTTTTAAATAGTGTATCAGAAAATCTAGTACTGTGGATCCTAGTGCTGATCACTTTCAGCTCTATTGTATTTTTTCTTCGAGTATTTCAAAGACCTGGACATTAGTTTTTATCAAGAGTGGACCCAAACTGGATTTTGCTTATCAAATTGTTGACAGGCAAGTAGGATGCTTTAAAAAATATTTAGAAACAGGGCTGGAGTCATGGTTTTAAGTGGTAGAACATCTGCCTAGAAAGTGCAAAGCCCTGAGTTCAAACCACAGTACTGAAAAAAATTTCTAGGAAGCAAATACCTTGTAATCTCTTATTCCCTGTTGTTTTGCCCCTCCCAGCTACTCATTTTTGTTTTCAGTCTGGTTCCTACAGAGTATTTTCTAAGTCATGTGAGTAGTTGAAAGAGTGGCAGTCATCATCCTAGTCCTGTTACTGTGGATTGGTGATTGTAGGTCTGAGCAGTACTAAAGCTTTAGAACTAATGGAAGTGCTCTCAGGAGTATTTTGGGCCAAATGAGAGTTGAACCAGCAGGCTAGAAATTTTTTCTAAACCAATTAGCATGCTTAGGACATAAATATAACCCTCCTAGTTAAATTTAAAAAATAATTTTATTTTATTTTTTTTGGTGGTATTGGGGTTTGAACTCAGGGCCTCACGCTTGCTAAACAGGCACTCTACCACTTGAGTCACTCTACCAGCTCTTTTTTTGTGTTGGGCATTTTAGAGATAGGGTCTCGAAAACTATTTGCCTGGGCTGGCTTCAAACCACCATCCTCCTGATCTCTGCCTCCTGAGTAGCTAGGATTATAGGCATGAGCCACTGGTGCCCAGCTAGTAGTCTCCTTTTTGCAGCATAGCAATCAGTTGCAGAAAAATATCTACTAGAAACTTTTTTTGTGCATTTGAACTCAGGGTTTCATGCTTGCAAAGCAGGCACTCTGCCACTTGAGCCACACCTCCAGTCTGTTTTGTTCTATTTTGGAGATGCCGTCTTTTGTACTGTTTGTCCAGGCTGGCCTCTAACCTCAATACCCCCGATCTCAGCCTCTCAAGTAGGTAGGATTGTAGGTGTGAGCCACTAGTACGTGTCTTAGATATTTCTTTTGAGACAGGGTCTCAGCTAAGTAGCTCAGGCTGAACTTAAACTAGTGATCTGCTTGCCTCAGCCTCCTGAGTGCTGGGATTATAGGCATGCATATCAGGCTATTGAAAATTCTTTTATTTTAGGGGAATCCTGGGGATTGAACCCAAGGCATTGTGCTTGTGAAGCATGCACTCTATCACTGACCTATACTCCTAATCCCGCCTAGAAATTTTAATAACCAAAATCCAAGCTCAGAGGACACCGAGTAGACATCGGCAGTCCTAAACTTAGTGTCTCAGCTTTGTATGTTCAGCCCTATTTTCCCAAAGTTTGGTAGAGCAAGAATTGGCCTACTGTGTGATTGGACTGTGATGCATAAAGTGCTCTCTTATAATACATGGAATGTTTTTACTTGTTTTTTTTAAATAAATTTTTATTAAGATGTATTCATGATACGGGGGGGGGTCATAGTGACAATTCCAATTAGATTTATATTGTACATTAGTTACATTGCCCCTGTTGTCTCTCCCACTCAGCCCCCTCTGCACCCCACCTGAAGTTGTTTTGTTTAGGAGAAAGCAAAGATTTATTAGGATGCCATTAAAAGGGCAGAAAGTGGTGGGTGGGGCCAGTGGTTTTTGTTGTATACTTTGATCTGGTGTCTCATGTTGCCTATATGACCTTGAACTTGTGGGCTCACCTGATCCTCCTGCCCTAGCCTCCTAAGTACCACACCCAACAGTGAAGCCTGATTTCCCCCAAAATGGAGTTTTTGAAAAAATTAAATTCTGGGAGTCCTTCAGCTGCTACTCATAGATCAAGGGCATCTTAAAACCTGATCCTTTCTTTCTCTGATTTCCTAACCTTGTACTTCAGGTGCACAACTGGAGCCCAGAGGAGGCTATAGAAGCTATCACCAAGATCCGGTCACACATCTGTATCAAACCCGGGCAGCTGGAAGTTCTTAAAGAGTTCCACAAGGAGATTTCTGCAGGGGCAGCAGGGAATGACACATCAAATGTACGGATTAGAAGGAACACCAGATGACCCTGCTTGATACAAAATAAAAGTTTTATAGTACCAAAGGGGCTTAAGCCAAGATTTGACCTAACAGAAATGTACTAAGTAGTCAATAATTTTGCTTCACCTTACTTCACTTTTCTGAAATAACACTGTTGTATGACTAGGGAGGAAAAGATTTACTGTGGTTAAATCTTATTTTCTTGAATAGGATCAAAGAAATACTTTCAGCAAAACCTATTATGTATCTAATATTGTGCCTAAAGATATTTAGCACTAGAAAAAGAAAGGAGACATTGAGTTTTGGCTATTTACCACTGTCACATGTCAGTTTGGGACTGGGGTGTAGTTCATTGGCACAGCACTTGCCTAGCATGTGGGAGGCCCCACGTTTGATCCTTACTTAGCATCACCAAAAAATAAAGGAATCCCAGTTTCATTGGCCCCTGGAGCTCCCCTCACACTTTTGAATGTAAAAAAAGGATGCATGGGATGCTGCAGGATTGCTGATTTAGGAATGCATGAGTCTGTAGTTAGTTTCCCTTATATTCAGGAAAGGTACCCATTCAGGATTCAACATAAGACACGCATATTTCCCTTTAAAAACTTTTATTTGTATGAACAGTGCCTAGCTCTTGATTTAGCTTAGAGCTTTTAAAAGACCAGAGATCTTGTATTTGAATTTCTGCTATTAATCAGAAATAATCCATTGTACTTTCTGGCTTATCTGTTGAAGCAAGCCAAAAATAAAACCAAAGTTACTTTTCCTGACAGATAAGAAAACAAAAGAACATTGTGAATTCTAGAGTTGACCCTTGCTGGTGAAGTACACCTTCTGCTTAGTCCATTCTCCCAACCAAAGTCTGAAGGAAAACTCTAATACCTAATTCTTTGTGGAAAAATAATGAACTGGCCACTTTGCTGGCTACAGAAAACAAGAATGGGCATCTCTCCTTCTGCCCTGGGACTGGGAAGCTTCTATTTAACATTGATCAGGTAAAGAGGGAAGGCTGTGCCTAAGATCTGAGAATAGGCTAGCTCAAAGCAATTTGTGGTGAGGCACAGGATCACAGGATTGCAGGACTGACAAAGAACAAGGTGACCACCTCTCCAGCAGCCAGATGAGCAGCAGCAGTCTAAAAAGCCCTGAAGAGAACACGAGCTCAGGGAAGGGCTGAGGTGCTGCCTTTTTAATATGTGCCCAAACTAACACATTACTCTGAAGTGGGGCTCAGGTGACTTTGAATTTGGTTTGGGGAGGTGCTGAAAAAGGGAAGGCCAAAGGAATCAGCTGCTCTCTCTATCAATGGCTTAGGCCAAAACGAACTGCAAATTGGTAAGCAGCACCTTAATGCCTCTTGTAACAGTCACAGCTGAAGTGGCAGGGTCGAGCTTGTAGGTGTTAGCATCCCCCTTCTTATACCGGTCCCGGAAGACATAGATGCTCCCGTTACAGCTGGCGATCTTCCAGAGGGATGGGGCAGAGCTCCAGGCCTCGGGAAGGCAAAGCCTGGTGAAGCTGTCTAACAGGGGATTATAGCACACCAGGGAGTCCCCTTCAGCTACAATGAATACGAGATCCTTATGTACAGCTGCGTGCATGCGGCCTGCAAAGGGCAGCACATAGGGCTTCACATGGCACTTATCTGTCTCTGTGTCAAAACACTGGATAAGTCGGGAAGGTTTAGTAAAGAAGTCCAGGTCATTCTCCTCACCCCCCAGTAGGTAGATGATTCCATTGAGGTTGGCACCAGCGGCCCCTGATACAGCCACCTCTAGCTGGGTTGTCTCTGTCCACACATTATCACCTACCCGATAATAGATGACTGCATTGGAGAGGGTATCCTGCAGTGTCTTGCCACCCAGTGAATATATGGCATCTTTCCCAGGCACAGACACCAAGGTGTGCTGCAGCCTATCCCGGGGCAAAGGTGCACACCACTCCCAGTCAACGGTGGCATTATTGCACTTCCACATGCGCCGTGGAATGGACCCTCCCACCACATACAAGTCTCCACCATGCTTGCAGGCGGCAGTGATCTGGTGGCACAAGCTGTTTTGGCCACTTACACTGATGGAGTCATCTTCTGCACAGTGCAAGGACACAGCCAATGAGTGGGTACGAGATGACTCTTTCCCAATAAGGTAAATGTGCACATTCTCTCCAATTTCCTGCCAGTAAAATTGAAATTATAAATGACATGTCAGCTCATGGTGAAAGTTCAACTGAGAAACACACCCCTAAAGTCTGGGCCTCATATTTATATCTTACTGTAATCTTACCCCCTTCAGTGTCTGTTATCTTGACTCTCCTCTAATTTTTTTTTTTTTCTTCAGTACTGGGGTTTGAACTCAGGACCTCCCATTTCCTAGAGTCATGCCCCAGTCCTTTATTCAGGTAGGGTCTCACATTTTTGCAGGGGCTAGCCTCAGAGTGTGATCCTCCTACATATGGCCTCCCACATAGCTGGGGTGACAAACACATGTTATCATATCCAGCTTGGTTGAGATGGAGTCTTGCTCTTTTTGCCCAGGCTGGCCCCAAACCTCAATCCTCCCAATCTCTGCCTCCTCAGTAGCTGGGATTACAGGTGTGAGCCATCATGCCTGACCTGACTCTCCTCTCTAATCACTTTTTTTTGGGGTAGGAGTGGAGTACAGGGGTTTGAATTCAGGACCTCACTCTTGCTAGGCAGGTACTCTACCTAACTTGAGTCATCTGCTAGCCCTTTTTGTATTGGGTATTTTCAAGATAGGGTCTGACGAACTATTTGCCCAGGCTGGCCTCAAACCACGATCCTCCTGATCTCTGTCTTCCAAGTAACTAAGATTAAGCCATGCCTCCTGCCCTTTTTGCCTTAGTTATTTTTCAAGTACAGTCTCATTTTTTGCTGGGCTGGCCTAGACCATGATCCTCCTATTTAAGTGTCATGTGTAGCTGGGGACACAGCTGTGTGCCACTATGCCCAGCTTTTTTGTTATGATGGGGTCTCACTTGTTCCGTGGGCTGGTCTCAAAGTGTGATCCTCTTGATCTCTGCCTCCTGTGTAGCTGGGATTACAGGAATGAGTCACCATGCCCAGCCCTCTTTCAGCTTTTTAAATTGTCATAAATTGGTGCTTCAAACAAAGGATTGCTAATTTAATGATGAAAGTAGTTCTCTCAAAGAACTACTTTCTCAGGGAAGAAAGCAAAAGTTCTCTGAGTTTTGGAGCTCATAGACTGGTAGCTTCTGGGGTCACAAACACATTCTCTTCTCTACCTCATATCAACTTTAAGCTACAAGACTTTATTCAGTAGCCATCAAAGAGGCCAGCAGATGGTTGGGAAACATAGAGATTATGGTACTCCAATACTTAAGAAATCTGCTAGCCACACCATCGGTAGCCATACCTGTAATCCTAGCTACTCAGGAGGCAGAGATCAGGAGGATTAAAGTTTGAAGCCAGCTCAGGCAAATAGTTCCCAAGACCCTATCTTGAAAAAACCCTTCAGAAAAAAGGGCTGGTGGAGTGGCTTAAGATATAGGCCCTGAGTTCAAACCCCAGTACTGCAAAAAAAAAAAAAAAAAATCTGCTTTACCTTCAGGTTAGTCCTGAGTGACTCTGCAAAAGCCTCTCTTTCTTCTTTATTAAAATTGATCCAAGCTTCTATTGCTTCTGTGGGGTTTTGGGAACATGGAACTCCATCTGTGAGAGCCAAAGGAAAGGCATGGTCAATAACAATCTGAAAGGGAAATTCAGAGCAAGAAGCTTTAAAGATGCAACCTCAGACTACCATTATGTGTAGGTATGTGCGTGTGTACAATACATGTGTGTAAGATCAACTTGACATTTCCTTGTCTTTTTTTTTTTGTAAGATTGAGGTTTGAATTTAGGGTTCCATGCTTGGAAAGTAGGCACTCTATTACTTGAGCCATACCTCTAGCCCATTTTGCCCTGGTCATTTTGGAGATAGGGTCTCAAGGACTATTTGCCTGGGCTGGCCTTGAACCATGATTGTTCTGATCTCAGCCTCCCAGGTAGAATTATAGGTGTGAGCCACTGGCATGTGGCTTTCCTTGCCTTTTGTTTGTTTGCAGTGCTGGGGATCAAACCGAGGACCTCATGTATGCTAGGCAAGTGCTCCTACCACTGAGCTATACCCCCAGCCCAGCCTTGCTTTTTAAAATTAAAATGGATGACTTGATATGCTCTTATATGTCATGAAAACAATCTACTAGGCTGTAGACTATAAAATACATTATACTTCACATGCAGGATTAGTATTACCTAAAGCTGGCCCATCACTACAGATGTTTCTTTCTTTCTTCTTGGTAAAGTCATGGTGTTTTTTTCCTGGCTTCTTCTTCTGTAAGGCACTCCATCTCTGAAACAGCTACACTGAATCTCAACTCAACCTCAATCTAAATTCTTACCAAGAATAATAGTACATGAACACCAGGAAGGTTGAGGGTTCCTTTCCCCTGAACCAGAACATCCACTGAACATCATGCCCAATTATTTGGATATGAGTATGATGTGCGCCTCCCTAAACTTACCAGAGATGATGTCGGTGAGCAGGTGGTGGGGCAAGTGGAGAAATTCCTCTGTGCTCTGCAGCTGGGCCAGATGGGTCTTGGCACAGTGCTTGGCAGCAGTGTAAAGCTCAGGATCACTGTGTCTGTCTGCCAGCCACATCACCTGAAGGCAGTTTCCCACTTGTACTGTGCGAGCCAAAAACCGAGAACATTCCTCAAAGAGAGATGTCAGCTGATACATGTCTGACACTTCATAAATTTCCTGCAGCTCATCAGCTCGAAGTTTCACAGTCCCATGGTAGATATAATCAACCAGGAGCTGGAAAACAGACTCACTGACATCCTGAAGCACAATCACCCTGTTGTGGGCCTCCTTCAGGTTTGAAGTGAACATGGACCGGAAGAAGCAGCTCTGAGCTGAGAGCACCAGCCGGTGAAGCTGAAACTCCCGGCCTTCCACTGATATGGTTACATCAGCAAAGAGCTCCTCCTCTAGACACAGTTTCATGATGCCCTGAGCTACTCGGCCTGAGTGGGACCGATCTTTGAAAGTGTAGTTCACAAAGTAGTTCTCATCCATGGATGCTCCAGGCTCCTCTGGTGATTCCATAGTAGTCAACTTCTCTCTCTGCCAGCTGTCTGCAAAGCAACACCACCCTGAGTAATTTGGGGAACTCACAGTCATAGTCTGTGAATCCAACTAGGAGAGGAAAAAAAATGAGAGTAAAGTGGGTCCAGATTGGTCTTAGTCCTGTCCCTGCCAATGATGTCCCTAATCCTCCTTCACCCAAAACTGTACTTATTTTCTTGCAGTCTTGAATTTCTCCCAATAAAATCAATAAACGCTCCAATTCTGCTGGTTTCCCTGACAGAACACATAATATTCCTTCCCATGAGGAAAAGACTTGGGATTCGGTTCAACGCATGAAAACATGGGGCTAGAGGAAGCTTATGATCTTAAAAGCCTTATTAATCAAATAACTTGGGCATAAAAATAGTGACGCTTAAGAGAAGCAGAACTAGACAGAAAGACACTCACGTCCTTGTGGCCTGTTTACCTCTTCCCCTCCAACATGGGGCTGGAACTGGTACATCCATCAGTCCCACTTTTGCTGTCTTCTGAGCTTTTGTCCCCCACTTACTAGCTCGCCCTAATGATTCCCTGAAAAAGGTCCATCCCAGAACTCGACACAGAGTCCAACTGTCCCCAGCCCGGGGCACATGGAGGCCCATCGCCAATGCAGTGTCCGGGCTCCACCTGTATCTTCTGGGAAACAGTCTCCAGGAAAACTGTTCTCTCCCCCCTCCTCCCCCGCCTGCCCGCCCTCATAAAAACCTTAGCTCAGGGAGCAGGGGGAAGGGTGTGGAACGTAGAACCCAGAATGCCCACATTTCCCTTCTTACCCGTTTGGTTCTTCAGCCTTTTCAGTCCTTTCCAGCTTCTGCCACACCAATCTAGGGCTACGTTCACCTCACGGTTTCCCCACCTGCTGGTATTGCTTTCTCACCTGCGTTCCCTCCTTTCATCCCGGTGCCGGGAACCCGGAACTTCTGCTTCGGACCCCGCGCCCGCCCGGAAGAAGTTACATTGCACACTTCCGCTTCCGGTCCGTGCCCTTGGGGCTCCGTGTCCTGTGGGCTGTTAGCTTGGCTGCCGGAGCTTCATCCTGGAACATGGCGGCTGCGGCGGCCAAGGTTTGGTGTCGCGGGCTCGTGGGAGCCGCAGCTTTGGCCAGGGGTGAGATGGCGGGACCTGAAGTGGGGAGGGCAGCCGGCTGAAGCTAGAGTCAGAGGCAGCAGCACTCTCAGCGTAGCGGACTCTTCAGGCCTCACCCCGAGCGTATCTTTTATCTCCCTGTGCAGGGGCTGGGCGACCTTCGGTGCTACCCTCGGTGCTACTGCAGCGGGTGAGGAGGGAGAGCGCGGCGGCCGACACACGCCGTGAGTATGTGCGCGCAGTGCTTTTCTCCCAACTGTTAGTCCAGTCCCTTTCATTACCTTCTTCAGGTGTTTGTTCTTGCCCTAGGATGCCCTTCTCTGTCCTCCTGGCAAATCTCTTCTTGTTCTTGGAGCCTGGACTGCAGTGGTCTCCATCCTGGACTCATAATAGAGCCCTTTCTGTGCCCTAGATCTCTCGGTTCAGTTATGGCCTTGGTTGTCACTTGACCGTTTGGTTTTGTTTTTTTTGGCAGAACTGGGGTTTGAACTCAGGGCCTCACGCTTGTTAGGCAGGCGCCCTTACCGCTTCAGCCACTCCGTCAGCCCTTCCTTGACTGTTTTCATGATTATCTTTTTCTTTATTAAATTATCGCCTTCTTCAGGGTAATAAACAAGTTTTGGGACCTCAGAGCCCTGTAATTAACTCACATTAATGGTGTGCATAATGTATCCCAGACATCTCACCAAGCCTTGTAGTGAATGATGTTACTTGATCTTTATAACAGCGTTATGAGGAGGATAGTGTTTTATTGTCCTTACTATTATTAACTGCCCAGCCATAGACCTAGTGAATGACAGATCAGATCTGCTACCAAAAGCAGAGAACACTTCATCATTACTCCCTAGCCTGTGATTCCCAGTGACTTAGAGTTGTATGAATGGGTATATGGTGATTTTATGTTACAGTCAACATAAGCAGACTGGGAAATAGAAGTCCTGACTTTCCATCCTTTCTGGGCCTTGATTTTTGTAGACACACACACACACACGCACACACACGTTTAAATGAGATAATCTGTGAGGCTCTTCAGTCCTGAAGTTCTTGGCTTGAGAACCTGGTATAAGCTAAGTGCTCTCCAATAGTAGAGCTGTTAGTAGAAGTGTAGGAAGTGTGAAGGAAGAGTGTGGAATAGTTTCAAGAAAAGGCAAAGACTCCAGCTGTAGTAACAAGTCTGTGTACTGGGTACACGAGGTGGCTTTTTTTTTTTTTTTGGCGTACTGGAGTTTGAACTCAGGGCCTACACCTTGAGCCATTCTACCAGCCCTTTTTGTAATGGCTTTTTTTTTTTTTTTTTTTTTTGGCTATAAGGTCTTGGACCTATTTGCCTGTGGATTCAAACCACGATTTTCCTGATCTCTGCCTCCTGAGTAGCTAGCATTACAGCGTGAGCCATGGCCCAGCTGAGATGGCATTTTTAATTTTCTCCACATTTTCACTGCTTCCTAATCCCTACAAGAGGGACTTTCCACCTGTACCTTTCTTAAGATTCTTCAGGGAGACCTACTGAGAGATGACATCCTTTTCAAGTCCATGAGACTAGAGAAAAGGCTGGTTGCCACCTCTATTCCTTTATTAAATATGCCCTTTTTTTTTTTTCCAGCCACTGTCAGACCACAGAATGTTGTGGCTCACAAGCAGCTCTCAGCTTTTGGAGAGTATTTGGCTGAAATCCTGCCCAAGTATATCCAACAAGTTCAGGTAATATTTACTACTGTTCTTTGGGTCTGGGTGAAGAAAGAAACATGTTCTCAGGGCATGTGAGAGTGGCAGTTGGCTTTCAAAGACACCATATACTCCTCCATCCCAAACCTGGACTTCTTTCTTTATTTTAAACCAAGTGATTACAGCTGAGGTTAGCTGCTCTCTAAATAGCTATTTCTTCCCTTTTCTCTCCATTCTATGTCTGTAGGTGACCTGCTTCAATGAGTTAGAGATCTGTATCCATCCTGATGGAGTCATCCCAGTGCTGACTTTCCTCAGGGATCATACCAATGCACAATTCAAATCCTTGGCTGACTTGACAGCAGTGGACATTCCAACTCGGCAGAACCGTTTTGAGGTCAGTCAGAAGATTTGAGGTTTGGGAATTAAGGGTAAGAAAGGAAACATCATCTCAGGGTGACAGTTAGATGTGGGAATTATAATTCCTTAGTTATAGTTCCAGTTTGAGTCAAACAGTAGAACAGCAGTTAAACCAGGGCTGAATCAGGTTGACCCTGAATTTGAATACTGACTCTTCTATTAGTTGACTGTGGCCTAAAACTGTTTCGATTTTTTTTTTTTTTTTGGATAGGGTCTTGCTGACCTGAAACTTCTGGGTTCAGGCACTCCTCCTTCCTTAGTCTCCTGAGTAACTGGGACTACAGGTGTGCGCTCTGTGCCCAGCTCTGTTTGATTTGAGCTTTAGTTTTCTTATCTGCAGAATAAGTATAGGTAGTAGCAGGCAGTGCCTAAGCCCAGGTGGGGTTTTTTTTTTTTTTGTATGGGGTTTGACTCAGGACCTACACCTTGAGCCACTGCACCAGCCCTTTTTTATGATTGTTTTTTTTTTCAGATAGGGTCTCGAGAACTATTTGTCCAGGCTGGCTTCGAACTGTGATCCTCCTGATCGCTGCTCCTGAGTAGCTAGGATTACAGGTGTGAGCCACCAGCGCCTGACTTAATTTTTTTTAAATGGGTCAGAGGTTTGAACTCAGGGCTTTGTGCTTGCAAAGCAAGTGCTCTACCACTTGAGCCACACCTCCAGATCATTTTACTGTGGTTCTTTTGGAGATAGGGTCTTGCAGACTTTTTACCCAGACTGGCCTTGAACCTTGATCCTCCTGATCTCAGCCTCCCAAGTAGCTAAGATTACAGGTGTGAGCCACTAGTACCCAGCAAGCTCCTGGCAATTTTAAGTGTGTGTCTGTGTATACATTTTTTTTTCTGGCAGTATTGAAGTACTTGGGTTTGAACTCATTCTTTCTCATGCATGCACTCTACCACTTGAGCCATATCTCCAGGCCAAAGGTCCTAGCAATTTTAGTCTGAAAAAAATTCCCTGCACAAGGGATTTGATATTATATGGTTCATTAGGATCTGTTGTTCCTTGGACTTTTTTTTTTTTTAACTAGTAAAATTAAAAGATCTGTGATATTGGAATTGGAGGATTTATTTTTGTGATTTAGGATGCCAGTTTCAAAGCAAAGAATCCAGGAAAGAATTGCCAGAAAAGCAATTAAAAGTAAAATATTAGGGACTGGAGGTATAACTAAGTAGTAATGTATAGCTAACATGCACAAGGCCTTGGATTTGATCTCTAGCACCCAAGAAAAAAAATGAGAGCATCCACCTTGCTTCTGAGTAAACAAAAAGCAACAGCAGCAATTGAGCAGTCTTGAGCATGGGAAATCAAAACAATTCCCTGAAGTCAAGATGAACAAAACTGAGACCATAGTTGGGCACCAGTGGTTCAGGCCTGTAATCCTAGCTACTTGGGAGGCTGAGAATTGGGAGGACTGCGGTTTGAAGCCAATCTGAGCAAACAGTTCATGAGACCCCATCTCCAAAAATAACCAGACTAAAAATGGACTGGAAGGGTGGCCTAAGCAGTAGAGTGTCTGCTTTATAAGTGCAAAGCTCTGAATTCAAACCCCCCAAAAAACTAAGACTAATCACATAAGCATTTCATACAAAAGTTTCAATTAAGCAAATTAAGTATATGTAAGTTGTAATATAAGTAAGTTGGCCCTATCATAGTTGTTGGTTGTAAGGACCAAATGACAGTGCAGGTAAATTATTAGAACAGAGTAGCTTCTTAATACATACAGCTATTAATACTTAGTGATCATCTACTGTTTGCCAGATTCTGAAAGAGCAAAAGACACATACAGTATCTGTAGTATCTGTTCCCCATCAATCCCCATACTCTGGTGAGAAAGACATGTACATAGGTTAGTGTAATAATGTATAATATATAGGAAGTTAGAGGGATACTTTAAGAATGCAGGAGGGGCTGGAAGCTGGTGACTTATCCTTGTAATCCTAGCTACTCCCACAGTTGAAGCCAACCTGGGCAAATAGTTGGCAAGACTCTTACCTCAAAAATACCCAACACAAAAACGGCTGATGGAGTGGCTCAAGTGGCAGAGTGCCTACCTAGCAAGCATGAAACCCTGAGTCCAAACCCCAGTACCACCAAAGAAAAGAATGCAGGAGGGGCACTTAGATGTGCTCAAAGGCTTCTTTCTAGAGAGAGCACATTTATGATGAATTTTAACAGATGAGCAGGAATCCTGGGATTAGCCTAATGAAGAGTGGGGGAAGTGGGCTAGGCAGGTCTTTCAAAGGGAATAGCATGAGCAAAGTCAGGTATGCTGGCCTGTTGAGCTATAGTTCTGGCCTAGGCCTTTGCAAGTAGTTGCACGCATACGAGCATTAAACAAAATGTAGGGTCACAGGTGGAACCCTAACCCACCCTGTATCCTCACAACTAATACTCCACCCCCAGATGCCCAGACCCTTCAACCTATGGCCATCTTGTGTCTCCAACTCTGTTTTCTCCTTAGATTGTCTACAACCTGCTGTCTTTGCGCTTCAACTCCCGAATTCGTGTGAAGACCTATACAGATGAGCTGACGCCCATTGAATCCTCGGTCTCTGTGTTCAAGGCAGCCAACTGGTATGAGAGGGAGGTGAGTTACTGTAGCTGGTGGGCCCTACCCCTGGCCAGAGTTGTGGAATTGGTTGTAGCTATGAGATGCAGTTTAGCTCTTTTACCTCTGTTGTTGGACCTGATGCATTGGTTGCCTGAGAGCTTCTTGTTTCTAGATATGGGACATGTTTGGAGTCTTCTTTGTTAACCACCCTGATCTAAGAAGGATCTTAACAGATTATGGCTTCGAGGGACATCCTTTCCGGAAAGACTTCCCACTATCTGGCTATGTCGAGGTAGGAGCCTAGAAACTTAGGAAGATACTTCAGGGGGTCTGGGGGATCCTTTGTGGCAGGAATATGATCTGTGGATTGTGGTGGTTTTAAGAACGTAGGCTGTAGATTCAAATCCTAGCTTCATTTTTGTAATCTGGGACAAGTTATTTGACTGATTTTTCTCATCTTTATAATGGTTAACAGTAGTAGCACTTAAATGATGTACTTGTAAAGCCTGGTATATTATAAATATCATTGATGCTAGTCATTATTGTAATGGTTGTTTTAATGGTCAAATCAGGCTTAAGGATATTCCACTCTTAAACCCTGAAAGTAGGGGGTTATTTTACCATGTCCAGGATCTCTGAACACTAAATGTTCCTGCACAAATGGCCACTAAGGCAGGACCAATAACGTGACTACAAGGGTCTTATAAAGAATTTCAGTGGTGCTATAGATTGTTTTTTAGCAGGAAGCTAGTTTCTTATATACATACATACGTCAATTTTGCAGTGAGGAATCTCCAGTGTTGATTTTTCAGTACCCTAACACTTCTATTTTCTTAGTGCTTTGCATGGTCCCAGTTTCTCTCTGAGCTGCTTCTTGTCAGGACTGTTTCTCTCTTCTCCCTTTCTCTCGCTTCACTCCACACTGTCTTCCTTACATGATTTGTCTCCTCACCCCACTACCTGATTTTAATCCTGCCTTATCCAACTGATTTCTCCAATAAGAAAAGCCTTGCCAAATGCCTGGCTTTAGATTTTAACCCAGGGCCTTGGGCATGCCAAACCAAGTGCTCTACCACTGAGTGACCTCCGAAGTCCTCCAGCTTTCAGTTTTGACAATGAAAATGCCAAGGCCACAGGCCTAAAGTTGTGTGTCTGTCAGTTTAGGTTTACTCTTTTCAGCCACTAACTGCTGCTCCTTTTTTTCGGTGGTAGAGGTACTGAGGTTTGAACTCAAGAGCCTCAGACTTACTAGCCAGGCACTCTATTGCTTGAGCCACACCTTCAGCCCCAGCAACTGCTCCTAATCCTGAGCGAGTGTTTACAGTTACCTCATAGAAAAGTGTGTAAATGGGTGAGCAGAATCAGTTCTGCTGGAAAAGAATTATGATACCATGGTGGCACAGGAGTCCTATGCTGGCAGTATATGAGAGGTAGAAGCCATTTTGGAATGCCACACAGTAACTGGTTGTGATGTGACCTGAAGGGTGACACAAATGTGGTTGGAGACTTACAGCCTGGAAAGAGGCTGAAACAGGAGTCAGGGACACGGGGATAAGGGCTGGGGAACTAACCAATGGTGTTTTGAAAATGCCTCTTTAGTGGCTATAACAAACCTCCCTTTTGCTTATGCAGTTACGCTATGACGATGAGGTAAAGCGGGTGGTGGCTGAGCCTGTGGAGTTAGCCCAAGAGTTCCGCAAGTTTGATCTGAACAGCCCCTGGGAGGCTTTCCCTGCCTATCGTCAGCCCCCTGAGAGTCTCAAGCTTGAAGCCGGAGACAAGAAGCCTGAAGCCAAGTAGTTCCAGAGAATGCATGTAGATCAGAGAGCGCCTTATCTACAGCTGAGTGTCCATGTAAATAAATTCCTACTTAGACTGCTGTGTGCTTTTCATGGATAAAAGTGACAATTTAACAATGCATTAAAAAAAAGGAAGTGACAGTGACTCAGGAGAGGGTAGGTGCAGGCAAGGGTGTTTCCCTGCTCCTTTAGGGAGACCCTGCCAAAGCAGGGATTCTATTTTAATGGAACTAAATGTGCAGTTACAGACACTGTGACCTGTGGACCTGGATGTATTTCTGAGAGGGATTCTGAAGCTGTAATTCAAAGTTCTCACAGTCCACAGGGTTCAGGATGGGTGTAGTATGGCCTCCAGTGAGAACTGGAGGGTCTCAACAACTGCTGGAGAAATCCCCTTACCTCTGCACGCTGTCTGGTGGCAGCTGATGGAGCCAGAAGCCTGGGTAGAACCAGGGGAAACCCAATCCACTTTCATCCCACTCAAGCACTACAGAGTCTGTAAGTCAACAGAGGCAGGAAAAACAGTTCATTTTTTGAGTGTTAAACCCTGTGTCTGGGCTAAAGGAGTATTCCTGATTTCTGCTCTGAACCAAGAATATTGTTAGCAAACAGAGGAAGTTCCAAGGGTGGGGCAAAAGGCACTCAGGAGCTGCAGATTTGTCTGCCTTCCAGGAGACAATACTCCCTACTTCAGCTGGGTAGGGTCTGTTCAGACTATGAGCGTCCGAGATGGGAGAGTGTGACTCTTAACTTCCATTGCCTACTCCACCAGCTGGAGAATCGTTTTGAGGCTGATGCTCTTGGCAGCCAAGGGGAGCCCTGGAGGATGGGCTGGACTGGGTGTCAGGAACTGGCCTCAGTAGCCGGATGTTTTGAGTGTGAGGATAGATGGTAAGGTATTTTTGCTGCCTGAGGTCTTCCTTACCCCTCGGGAGGGCTAAGCAGGACTGTTTGCTACCAGTCACCTTTCCTTTCCTTTTTTTTTCCTCTCCAATCACCTTTTTCTTATTAACTAAGCATCCCGCCCATCTGGGCAGGAACAAGCTGCTACTGCCAAGCCCAAAGAGTCCTCATTTCTAAGGGGTGGAAACGTCCCCTGGGAGGTGATGGAAGCCAGAGCCAGCCCCTCCCTCAGCCCTGAAGACTGACGCGCATAACGAAATGCAAGAGCAGCCTGCAGTGGAAAGCTGGAGCTGTGGTGTGTGACAGGCAGATGGGGAGCAGAGAGCTGCTGGGGAGAGAGACTCAGGATGTGGTGCAGCATGACGAGGACACTGCAGTTGCTGGTTTGTCTGGTGGTAGCCATTTGCCTCCTCCCTCGGGTGACTACCACCCAGCACCATGCAGGTACAGGGGCTTCAGAGTGGGTGGATAGGAGCCAAGCAGGGCTGCTGGTCAATCTGGGCAATAGCAGTTACAGTGGGCTGTGTTGAGCCTCACAGGGCAGAGGAACTGTGGGCCCAATGGGTACCAGACTAATGTGCTGCAGTGGATCATGGTGTGAGTTCCATCCCCAGAACTGGAAAAGTCCAGGTAAAGCATACGGAAATAGCCCTAAACAGGGCCCCAACAGAATTTGACCCTGGGCTTATAACAACTGATACCCAAAGCAGGGTCCCTTTACCTGCCCTACAGTTCTCCCTATCCTGCAGAATCAACTATTGAGGAGCAAGGAAAGAGTAGGCCCCCTGGGTCCTTTTTCTTTTTTTTTGTCGGTACTGGGGTTTGAACTCGGCTTCACACTTGTTAGGCAGGCACTCTATCACTTGAGCCACTCTGCCAGCCCAAATATGTAGCTCAGTCTGGCTTCAAACTCGTGATCCTCCTGCCTCCTCCTCTTTGCCTCACTGATTACCAGCGTGCACCACCATGACCCCTGGGTCCTTATACTTTGAGGGTCACTGGCACTGTTTTAGGTCATTAGTGTCCCCAGATTCTGTATGGAAGGAGAATGGAAAGAGAAGGTCTTGTGACCTGTTGGCTAGAGCTCTTTACCAAGGGCATTATGCATTTAAAGGGGGAGTCTTTGGCATTTTCTGAGATGGTAATTGGGGTTGGTGTGACATATTGGGATCAGAAGACCCATGCCTAGGAGGGTGAATGCCAGTGTGATGTGGGACAGGTGAGGGGGCACGAGATGGCATTCTTGCACTCTTGTAGATAGGAGAACCACCAGGAACTCCCGTTGGGCAGCTGAAGAGCACTTCTGGGAGGCTAGGTATTCAGGGTAAAGGATGACATGGAACTGACTCCTTTCTGCTGCTCCAGGGCAGCCCATCGACAGCGCCAGCGTGGGAGGTGGCCTGAAGGAGCCAGAAGCCCCAGAAGTGATGTTAGAGGTCATTCCTCCCAGCCTGGGACATGAGGGTGGGAGTGTCCAGAGGTCCCTAAGCTTGGGGTTGGGAAGGGGGATGTTTCAGGGTGGGTGTTATGGGGGTGGGGAGCAACCCAGCATGGGTCCCACTGCTATGTCCCCTGGCCCATCTCTTGTTCCCTGCCACACTCCCCAGACCCCAGCCCACCGCTTTAAATAGCTCCCCTTGCAGCTGCTGTGGGCTGGGCTGGAGCTGGACATCATGGGGCAGCTGCACATCCAGGATGAGGAATTAGCATCCACACGTCCAGGCCGCCGACTCAGGCTCCTTCTGCAGCACCACGTGCCCAGTGACTTGGAAGGTACTGAGCATAGGCTGCAGCAGCTACAGGACCTGCGGAAAGGGCCTCCTCTTAGCCCTTGGGACTTTGAACATCTGCTCCTTACTGGCCTGTCCTGCATCTACCGGCTCCATGCAGCTAGTGAGGCTGAGGAGAGGGTTCGTTGGGCCCAAGTCTTTGCTCTCCTGGCGCAGGAAACACTCTGGGACCTGTGCAAGGGTTTCTGCCCCCAGGGCCAACTCCCTTCACTAGGACCCTGGGTCTCCATTCTTGACCCCTTCCCCTAACCCTTTTCACCTGGCATTTCCCCTCCCATTCTCCATCCCCCCAACTCAAACATGAGTTAGAACCATCCTGGACAAGGTCTCCATCTGGCACTTAGTTCTTTCTACTCAGATCTCTGGACTTGGATTGTACCAGCCCCCTCCCCCCTCCCCAGTTTGTTCCTTAGACCCTGATAGGCCAAAAGCCCAGGAACTGGGTGCAGGCAGCAAGCACACAGTCAAGACAGGGCTTATAGGCTCTATGTGTGTATTAAGGTCAGGGGTCAGGGTTGAGAAGTATGTAAGAAATCATGAAAGGGAAACTGCCCTAAGTAAGTTGAGGTCAGACTTCAACTCCTATTCTGGTAGCTGTGGAAAGTCCTGTGGAATCTATGGGAACCTACAGGAATCCTGTATACTACCCCCTCCCCCAGTCCAAGCCTGTCTGGAGTCCCTGAGCCTGCAAATTCCCCATCTGGGTCAGAGTATAGATTGGACTTCTTGGTGGTACAGGGGTTTGAACTCAGGGTGTCATGCTTGCTAAGCAGGCACTCTACCATTTGAGCCACTCCACCAGCCCTTACATTGGACTTCTTGAGTTCTGTTCCCTGGAAGAGTGGAGTGAAGCAGGTGGAGGAACTTTACCTCTTTGGAGAGAGGGAGGCAAAAAAAAAAAGTCTTTGGTCCATTTCAACAAGCCTCAGATGAACTCAGAGGAAGGAGTAAGGCCAGGAGAGGAGCCACCCACCCACAGACTAGCTGAGACAGGCTGGAGTAGGTGTAGCCCTGATTTTATGTAGCTTTTACAATAAAAAGCTCTGTTCTGGCTTTCTGAGTCCATGTCCTTCCTATGTCAGAACAAGACTACTTACCCTATCTAACCTGTGCCCTGAGCAAATCACCACATCCTGGGAGGGCAGGAGGCAGGGCAATCAGGTGTCAACCCCCTAGCCCAGACCCACACCTTCCTGGAAGAAAGAACATTCGCTTTTCTTGAATCCTATGCCTCCAGTGGGGTCCCTTGTCATAGAGAGGAATCATCTGGACCTTAAGAACACGGGTCTTAGACCAATGGGGAGGAGTCAGATGGAAGGACTTGGAGATGAAAGGGAGGCCCACCCTCTCAGGGCCTAGGGCCGCAGTAAGTCAGTGCCTTCTTGTCCCGCCCCAAGGCAAAGGCGTCGCAGACAAGACAGAGCGCAAGACCCTCGGGCTGACCGGCGCAGGCTCACTTTATTGGCAGAGTCCAGCCGCCCCGGGCAGGCCATCATGCTCGCGCCAGCGGGGCGCTCGGGCGGCGGTCCCGGCTCGGCATGCACGCCCCTGGCCCTCCCGGGCTCCTTTCGGGTGAGGGCTCAGAGCTCCGGAGGCCCTAGGCCCGGCGGGCCGGCAGGGGAGAGGTCGGGGTACACCAGGAAACCAGAGAAGGTGATGTACTTGCCGTGGTTGCTGTAGGCGCCGTAGCCGTCGTGGTCGTGGCTGAGTAGCCAGACAGCATCGCCGCGCCGCAGCGCCAGCATCACGCTCTGGCTCTGCATCTCGCGGCGCCGCGACGCACCGTCGTCGTAAATCATGGCCTGCACCTCGTCCCGGTTCTTCATCAACTTCACCGACAGCGTCTTGCGGGGCAGCTTGCCCAGCGTGAAGGAGAAGAAGTAGGCACCGGGTAGGCGGCAGCGGAACACGCCGGCCTCCGCGTCGAAGTCGCCACCGATGTTGACGAACTCCGTGTCGAAGACCAGCGGCCGGTGCCGCGGTCCCGGGCTCGCGTCCGAGCCCACGAGGCTGCGCGTGCGCGCCACCGAGAAGGCCGAGCGCGGCTCGGGGGGCGAGGGCGGCCCGTGCGCAGGCGCGTCGGCGTCGGCGTACACCAGGTAGCCGCTGAAGGTGGCGCCGGGTGAGCCCAGCGCGTACTGCGGCGAGCCGTGCAGCCGCAGCCACACCGTGTCGCCGTAGTCGAGCTGCAGCATGGCGCTCTGGCTGGCCGCGCGCCGCGCGCCGGGCCGCCGCTGCTCGTCGAAGGCCAGCGCCTGCACCTCGTCGCGGTTGCGCACCAGCATCACCGACAGGCTCTTGTGCGGGGCCTTGCCAGCCGTGAAGGAGAAGAAGTAGGCACCCGGCACGCGGCAGCGGAACTGCCCCGTGGCCGCGTCGAAGTCTCCCCCGATGTTCACGTACACCTTGTCGAAGGTGACAGCCATTTCCGACGTGCCCTCCAGTGGGGTGGTACGTGCAGCCGAGAAGGCTGAGCGCAGCTCGGAGGAGTTGGGGCCTGGAGCTGGGCCCAGTGCCCAGCAGACTGCCGGGCCCAGCAGGCCCAGTAGGAGCCACAGCATGGCGCCTGGGAGGGGAGAAGAGGGCCAGGAGAAGAGAGTCAGACAGGGACCTCCAAATGCTTAGCCCTTCAGGACTAGGGGACATGGTTTCTCTTCCTTAGCCCTGCCCTTGCCCCTCAGCTTGCTCTTTGATTTCCTGTACACTTAGGCTCTGCTTTTCAAACTTTACGGTGTCTCCATGTCACCTGACGGGCTTACTACAGCTCATGGAGTTGGGTCCTGCCTCCCGGAGTTTATTCGGGAGGTCTGGGATGGGGCCTGAGGATTTGCATGACCATAACAGTTTCTCTCAAGATACAGAAGCAACGGGTTCAAGGACCACACTACCAGAATCCTTGGAGGTCAGTGACTCTCCAGTTCCTCTTTTGTTTGGCTTTTGTTTTTATAAGAATGGAAACTCCTTTCTGAAGTGAAAATTGTTACTCATACAGCATAAACAAGCAAAAATACCCCGGATGAAGAAGCCCACAACTCCATTTGCCAGGTTCACCCTTCTCCTCCCCCTCAGCACTCCCCTCGCACTCAGGGGCCCCTGGTGAACGTGGAGGAGGGGTGTGCTCAGTGGATCTTTTGCATTCCCATCAGTTTTCTTGTGGCTCTTCTCTGGTCCTTGGCCTGTCCTTCACAGCAGACACTGGTTCTGTGTCAGTGCCCTCCATAAGAGTTAGTGTTTTAAGTCCCATCTGGGCAGGAAAGGAAATAGCTGCTCCCTGATCCCTTTCCTGGCCTCTGACCCACTCAAGGGTCAGCTCTCACACAGGATCTCTGAACTCTCCAGGGATCCTTCCTGCACAGTTGGGCTTTGAAGTAGCTCCCTCCTTATGAAATCAGAGAAGGGGAGGTGACCCCCCTTGCTTGGAGGCTGATCCCTGAGAAGGAGAGCCAGTGGTGGCTGGGGATAAAGAGGGAGAATAAAATTCCAGTAGGGCTTTGGCAAAACACTGAGGTCATCAGCTTTGTTCTTTACTGGTGGGGGAATGAGGTGGACAGATACAGAGATTTAGGCTCAGGTTCTGGCTCTGCCACTAACATGCTTCAAAACCTTAAAGCCAGTTTCTTAACCTCTCTGGGCATGGCTTCCTCTGTAAATGGTAGAGGGTCTCACACAGGCTTGTGGTGAGGGCACTCTGAGATAGCAGTTGTGAACATGGTTTGTATGACAGTGCTGACCAGGTGTGCAGATGCTTCTGTACTTGGCCCTGGGAAAAGCAATCTGATCGAGTTCTTGACATAATTGGTCAAGGACTCAGTTACTGTAAGCCTGAGATCCTGGTGATGGGATTGCTTAATTCACAGGAGTCTCTTTGAAGGTGGAATTCCATCATACTCTGAAGTAGGCTTTGGGGCTTGAAGACCCAAAGGACCTGAAGTGGAGGCAAAACAGCAAAGATAAGCTGGAGAAAGCGTGGATGTGGACATCTCTGGGAAGTATGTGAAGCTTTGTGTCTTAGAGAGATGCCCTGGACCTGCTGAGAAGAGTTTCCAAGTGCACCTGAGTCCTGCACCAGTATGTTCACCTGAGGGTTGGCAGGAGCCCAACTGTTGAAGCAGCACCTGGGGTAAAGTGTGACACCTTTTAATTCTCATAATAAAGACCTCAACCCGATAGCCCAGCTGAATACCTTCTGGAAGAGGTACTTTTTCAAATTCTTGCAAAGTTGCCCTATGGGTTAGGATATCCTTGGTGAAGGCAGGGAAGTGGCAAAAGCTTCAACTCACAGGTGTCTAGTATGTTCCCTTTTACAAAGCTCTTTTGGACACATCTGGTCTTGGAAAATTGTGAGATAGGCCCTGTCCCATTTTGTGGATAAGAAAGCTGAGAACCAAACAAGAGGGGCACATTTTGGCCCAAGGTCATCCACAGATCACTAATGCTAGCCTAGAACAGGTTTTTGGGGGTTTTTTTGTTTGTTTTGTTTTGTTTTTGCTTCAAATTCAGTGTGTCTTACACCACCCTTCCCTCCTAGACTTGAGTATCTCCAGGCAGTCTGTCCTCTGCCTCAGTCTCCCTTTTTCAAAAAATTGGAAGAAACAAGTGGAATGCGTATTGGGATCCAGGATGAAGGAGAAAGCAAGCAAGCAAACAGCATTTTGTCTTCTGGGTGTAAGGGGCAACTTAAGGCTCCCCATCATGTGGCTTTCCCAGCAGGTCTGACCCAGGAGCGCCTGCCCACCTTCCCCACCCCACACCCATGCCTTCTCCCTGCTAATCTGAAGCACCCCATCAGTGACAAAGGGCACTGTGTACCCAGCACCGGCCTTTGTTTCACACACTACTGCCCATTTCCCAGGTCCTAGGGTCCCATCCTTTGTGGAGCCCCCATCCCTGAGGAGGTTGGAGGGGGTGGGATGTCAGGTGGTGGGCATAGCTCCAGGAAAAGAAATGGCTGTTCCTAGCTCTGTCCAGGTGAGGCTCAAAATAGTCATGTTCAAAGAGAAAAACTGACGGACAGCTGGGTAGACCCAGAGCCCGGCAATCGACAGAGGAGGAGCAGCAGCGATGTTAGGCTGAGGGCAACTCTGAGCCGCATTCCCCAAACCCCCATTTCCCAGTGAACCCCTCTCTCTAACGCTGCCACAACTCCCCTCCCCATCTACCTTGAAGGTAAATCCCACTTTCATAGAAGCCAATTAATTCCTTCTCGTGAAAATCCCCTAGAAAGGGGTACTCCAAGCCCTCTCTCCCCAAGCCCTTCCTTCCACCCATCCCTTCCGAGTGAAAGCCCTGAAGCCTCTTTCATGCAAAAGCTCCCAGATCCTCTTTTCAAGGAAAAAGGACCCATTCTCTTAGCACCTCCAGCCGCCCCCACTTGCAATAAAGGTGAAACCTGGGCGCCCCCGCCTCCTGCGAGCTGCGCTCACCTGGCTGGCTGCGGCGGTCGCGTCGGGTTTGGTCCGAGCCGGCAATCCGGCTCCAGGCTCCGGGCGGGCGCCGGGGCTGCGCACTGACCGCACGCGCTGCGGCGGGGCCGGGCCTGCGGGGGCTCGGGCCGCGAGGTGGCTGCGGGCGGGGCGTGGGGACCCCGGGATCGGGAGGCGTGAGGAAAAAGGGAGGTCAGCCAAAGAGGGAGCCAAGCGAGCGGAGAGGCGGAGAGCAGGGGAGAGGCGGAGAGGGGTTAAGGACGCGAGGGAGGGGCGCGCCGAGGAAGGGAGCCGAGTAGACGGGCCTGGGGCACCGCACCGAGCCTGCGCCGAGCGCGGGACCCTCCCTCACCCGCCTCATCCTCTGGGTCTAGAATGCAAGCATCATTAATCCAAGAAGGTAGATCGGGAAACTGAGGCCTGAGGCAGAGCCCCCCTGGGAATGCCCAGGGCACTCTAGTCCTAGCTGATTTGGGGAGACTAGACTAGAACAGCCTTTGAGCTGCAAGGACAATGGAAGGTGAAGTTTTGGCTAGGACAGATGTCCAGACTGAGTGGCCTTGGGAGAGAAGGTCTGAAGGAAGAGAAGAATAAATGGGTCAATGTCGCTAGTAAAGGAAGAACTTTAAATGTCCTCGTTTTTCTTCCTCACCTCTAAGCCTGAAAATGCCCATAGTGCCAGAAAGAAAGGAGGAAGACTAAGCCTGCAGGTCAGCCTGTGGCTCTCTGGGAAGGGTGAAGAAGGAGGAGGATCCTTGAGGCAGAATTGAATTGTTGAGAAAAAGACTATGAGTCCCTGTATTGAGAGGGACATGGACACCCTGCCCAGCTGGGGTGGGGATAGCAGGAGACCAGCATGGCCTCAGGGCTGGGGACAGCATCTGCCAACCTTAACATTTCCCATGGCCTCTCCTGTGGGCTTTGACTCTTCATCCTGTTTGGGTCTGGGCTGCATTCTCTTCTAGGACAGCTGTGGAGGTGGTGACCTGCCTGGCACTCAGATGTTGACTGAGGGTGAAGGCGAGGAGGACTTTTGAAGAGCCCCACTCATAGCTGCCAGGGCCTGCTGGCCTCTGCCTGCTTTTGGTTGCCCTGGGTGTGTGTGGTGGGGGGGGCTTTGCTTCAGTCCCAGTTCCACTACAGACCCATTGCATGGTCACCTAAGCAGTCTGGCCCCCTCTGAAGCCCCCTGCCTTCTGGAGCTTTCCTTCTGGAAGTTTCAAAACTTACTTGAGGCTGGTGCAGTAGCTCAAGTGGTAGAGTGCCTGCCTAGCAAGCATGAAGCACTGAGTTCAAACCCCAGTACTACCAAAAAAAAAAACACAAAAAAACAAACACACAAAAAACCTTGCTTGACCCCAGTTACTTTAGTGGAAGCTAATCCCACCCATGAAGGTGTACATAATGAAGACTGGCTTGTGAGGGATCCTTCAGGGTGTTAGGTGAATGCATGATGAATGTGCACCCAGATGGCAAGGAATAAATGAAAGTACTTCAGGCAGGATAATGGGGGTACTTAGGGGCACAGGGCAAAACACCTCTCTGGCTCCTGTCAAATCACAGCTTCTCCTTCACCAGTTTGAAAAGCTTGGACCATAGGCTGGTGGCAAGGGCATGAGGGAGGATAAGGATGGGATGAGCCACCCAGGCATGTACGGGAGGGCTGGGCAAGGCTGGAAGCTGACCTGTGGCACCACAGCCCTCCTTAGGACATTGTATCCCTCCAGATTGGGGGGTGGCCCTCTGTGATTCCAGTGGTGGAGAGAGGAGTTTGGGGTCTGGCTGGGGCTGGGAACTATTTGACACTTATCCTGGGTTCACAAAAGACTTCCCACTAGAGAAGTGAGGGTAGGGGTGGACAGGAGTGTCTGGGGCACATAATGTCAGGGTTGTTTCAGGACCTTGGGAAAAGGAGGAAGGCAGTGGGAAAGTGACAGGAGAAATAGGCCAGGAGCTTGTGGGTGTGTGGGCAGTCTGGGGTCAGAAGGGAAATCAGGAGGAAGTGCAATAGGGTTCAACAAAAAGAGCACACCTTCAGTCCATTTTACTCTGATCATTATGAATTTCTTTTGGCAACCCTGGGATTTGAACTTAGGGCCTCATGCTTACTAGACAGGCACTTTTGCCACTTGAGCCACTCTGGTTATTTTGGAAATGGGGTCTCTTGAACTATTTGCCTGGGCTGGCCTCCAACTGAAATCCTCCTGATCTCAGCCTCCCAAATAGCTAGAATTACATGTGTGTTACACCGCACCTGGCCTATTTAATTTTTTTAACATCTCCTAAAGTAGATATCACTAAATCAGTTTTGCAAATGAGGAATAGAGGTTAATGCAGACATAAGATTCAAACCCAGGTCTGGCTGGCTACAAAACCCATTCCTTGGACTTGGGGTGTGGTTCAAGTGGTAGCCCTGAGTTCAAACTCCTGAATTCATACCACCAAAAAATCAAAAACCGTTCCTTAACCACTACTAGGCTCTGCAGCCTCCTTTCTTTGATCTTCTCTGGGCCTTATTTTTTCATCTGTAAAATAAGGGGAGGTAGTGAACCCAGTTTCTCCTGCAGCTAAGCATGGTTAATGAGATGTAAGCAGATGTCATTGGGAGACAAAGTACTTTTAAAGGAACTAACTCAGAACCCCAGAACCACCACCAAAAAAAAAAACCAAAAAAAAAACAAAAAACAAAAAACAAAACTGACTCAGCTGGGAGCCCACTATTTTTGCCCTCTTTCTTTTCTTCTTTTTTCCTGGCATGTGGACATGAAGTGGTTTTGCTCTAAGGTGCAGTGCTACATAGGGACTCAGGAAGAAGCTGAGATGAACAAGCCCTACACCTTTTCCTCCAGGGGCTGATCACTTAGTGGGGCAGGAGAAAGTGGACAAAAAGAACCATAGTATGTGGGAAGAGATCAGTGCCAGGAGAGAGTTGCAGTGTGCTGTGGGAGCTCAAGAAGGGAGCAATTTAAGCTTGAGCAGGGTGTCAGGAAAAGTGTCATAGAGGAGGCAGTGGCATGGTGAGATGGAGGTGGATATGGAGGAGTGAAGGAGTAAGATCCAATTAAAGTAGGAATATGCATCAGCGTGTGGAGGTGGCACAGGCAGGGACTTGGAAAGGGAACTGTGTGCTCAGGTCAGGAGGGAAGGGTTTGTGAAAGGAAGTTATGTCAGGTTAGGCTTGCAGGGCTATTGGAGCATTTAGCAGAGCTCAGGAGCTTTTGTCTTACAGCAGGTTGTGCTCAGAGCTGTATTTTAAGATTACTCTGGTTGCAGATTGAAAGAAGACAAAATTTTAAAAAAGATAGTAGACAGAAGAAGAGACTAAAGAGAAAATACTGGAATTATCCAGATGAACCTGGACAATGCAGGAGCAGTAAGAAAGGAAAAGAAGAGAGAGTGAGCACACAAGCTCACAATTTAATTAGCTTCCTGGTTTGCCGGAGGATTACAGGGAAATTAGCAGTGCTCAGAATCTAGGGACCTTGCTGGGAGTTGAGGGGAAGTTAATGAGAACGACAACAACATGCCCTGGGGAGAAATGAAAGAGGAGGAATTGTTAGCCAAGCAGAGATGCTGGCAGGAGAAACAAATGTCAAGGCACTGAGGCTCGCCCTCCCTGGTAGATCCCAGTCCTCCAGGGAGCAGACATTAGGGCTCCTGGGTCAGGCTCCTATCCCATTACCCCAGGTTCTTATCCCACTGGGCACCTGATAAAAGACCCTGGAGAGGGGATGCTGGGAGTGGCTGTGAAGAGGTAGGAGTGGCTCAACTCTCCCTTGGACTTTTCCTGGCAGGGCTCTAAAAGGCTCAGACCTCCTAGAAGGCAGAACTGAACTCCCAAGTGACCTGCTCATGACCAAATGTGACAAATTGCATTTTCCAAAGACTGTAACAACATCTCTCATTCTCCCTTTCTCTTACAGCGTGACCTTGTCATTCCCCATGAAAAGGAGGAGTTAGATTAGGTCATAAAAGGTGGTGCTAGTTCTGCCTGGATCTTCCCCCCACTCCACCAGCCGCGCCCCCTCCCACTCCCCCCCTCTCCTCTCTCTCTCTCTCTCTCTCTCTCTCTCCTTTCCTCTCTCTCTCTCTCTCTCTCTCTCTCTCTCTCGCAAAGTGGCTCAAGAGGTAAGGGTGCCTGCCTTGTAAGTGTGAAGCTCTGAGTTCAAACCCAGTACTGAAAAAGAAAGAAAAAAGTCCAGGCCCCATGGAAAGATCCTGTGCAGCTGTTGAGGCCAATGGCCCTAGCTGTTGTAGAGTTCCATGCAAACTGAAAATGTGGGGACTCATTGGAAGTAGTGGTGTATGCCTGTAATCCCGGCTACTGAGGAGGTGGAGGCAGGAGGATTTTGAGTTTCAGACCAGCTTAAGCAAAGGTTGCAGCAAGCCCCTGTCTCAAAAGCAAACAAAATAAAGGGCTTGGGGCACAGCTCAAATGGTAGAGTGCTTGCCTAGCATGGGCAAGGCCCTGAGTTCAATTGGAGGGGGAGAGGAATATGTGAGGCCTCTTGTTCAAAAATTAACAACTTGGATGGAGGCAACATAGCATTAAGTCAATCACAAGGAGACTGTGTATAGTTTTATAGTACAGCACGTGTTTAGCATGTATGAGGCTCCACAGCACCAAACAACAAAAGCAAGCATAGAGCCATTATTTACTTATTTGCTGGAAATCAAACCCAGGACCTCCTGCTTCCTAGGCAGGGCCCTTC